CAGGAGGTGGATCCTGGCACACTGTATGCTATTATGAATGAAAGACCAGGAGGTGGCTCCTGGCACACTATTTGCTGATTATCCAAGTAGTGTAGTATGTATGCTAGTTGTCTTTATGATGCTTGCATGGAAGACCAGGGGGTGGCCCTTTGCACTTGTCTGTAAGACCCAGGGAGTGGCCCCAGGCTTGACAAGAAAGACCACGTGCGGCCCGTGGCATAACAGCAAGACTATGTTTGGCACATAGCACCTTACTTGATTATGGATATGTTTGTGATGTATGGCTCACTGTATGTATGGAATGTATGGCCCAGTTGTTATGTATGGTATATGGTATTTGGGATGTTATAACACGCATGATGGAGCACCTTGTGCCATAGTGGAGCATCATGATGTACAAGTGGCGTATCATGAACACTAATGGCCCAACATTCATCATGGTGGCACAAAATGGTGTAATCCATGAGCAATACCAACTTCTGAGCATCATTGAACGATCTTGATCATCATAGAGGACTTCATAGCATACTTGGCTCATCAGGGACCAAGATGGGCCATCTTGCACCATGATGGTGCAACAAGTGTATGGATGGCACAACATGCTTCAAGTGTGGCCCAAGAACATATAGTTTGGAGCAACATCACCACCTTGGTGCAATAGGAACATACATGGCGCAACAAGTCCATGCTTGGCGCAACAACATACTCCATGGCGTAACAGGGATACCCCATGGCGCAAGAAGGATACCCCATGGCACAATAGGGAGTAGCTTGGCGCAATAAGGAATGCCCTTGGTGCAACAACATCCGTCTTGGCCCAACCCTTTATCAGATGGCGCAACAAGTTCCCTTTGTTGCTCCATATTACTCCCAAGTACTCCAAACCTCTTCCAGGTGCTTCAAACCCCTTTTATATGATCCGTTCCTTTGTCACATGCTCCATGAACCCCAAGTCCTCCATTGAGTTCCAAGTGCTCCAAATGCTCCATGAACCTGATCCAAATGCTCCACGAGAATGCTCCAAATGCTCGAGTTACATTTAACAATATGAACCCTAATTCATTGATCAAGTGAAAAGAGTACAAATCAAGTATATAATGAAGACCAAATGAAATATTACTAGATAGAAACATGAAATTAAGTTCACATCAAAGTCTAACAACAAGTGTTTAAGGATCTAGAACCGAAAATAGATGAAAAATTAGCCATACATGGCTAAATCAAAGCATAAATTCAACAAAGTTCAATCTTCAAACAAACTTACAAATTCGAAATCTAAATTTTTACAAAGTGATAATTGATGATAAAATTGATGAAAATCACCCCTTGTGAAGTCTTGGTCGAAGTTATGTTAAAAATGGCTAAAAAACTTCTTTAAATTGGAAGTTGGAAAGTCATAGAAAACTGTCGGCATCGACTCCACGCCCTCGGAATGAATGCGTCAAGTTATTCATCCCGACAACATAATCTTGATTAAAGCGTTGTCAACCTATACCCCATATACACACAAATGTACTGCATTCCAAATCAGGACAGTAGAAGGCTTGGAACACAAGGATTTGCCAATTACTCGGTTTAAATGCATATAACCATAGTATAAGGCATCTCCTAGTAATTTTTACTGACAAGGAAGGTGCATCTTAATCTATAGGGCATATTCACTGAAGCACTCAACTCGTGTACGCACTCATTTTACAAAATGTGTGAAATCACACCTATCAAATAATCTACACTCGTTATTTAAGGTGGAGGGCATCAGGCATCGGTAAGGCATATCCCATTCTTCTTAGTCTTCTCTCCTTGCTCTTCAACAGCTTGCAGTTGCACAATCTTAATATCATCTTCCAAATCTTGTGTCAACTCTCGGCAATCCATAGTAGGAGATAAATCCTTAAGCCATAATAAGGGTGCAAAAGAAATATATACAAACATCAAACGTACAAAGCTAATAAGTTAGAACCGTATAACATGGTTGTTGGCTTCAAATAAAATATCAACACTAAACGAGCCAACAAAATTAAACACAAACGATTTTCATGTGAAAATATCATCATGACAAATCTAGAAAGGCTTGGCTCGGTTCTTTTTTTTAGAAAGCAACATATATATACATATAATCACTTGACATTTACAAAAGAAATAGATACTAACAAAAGATAAAAAAAATTACAAAAAACTTATATACAAAACTTGATAAATTGACTTTTTGAAGAACTCTATGTTGTTTTTTATGAGGCATACAAACTTGTAAAGATTTGACTTTGAAATCCACCTTTCATGACTTCGCGGTTTTTTACATTAAGGAACAATTTGGTTCAAAATAGCAACAAACTTCTAAATATTTACAACTACTAAACTTTAATGAAAATGACAAACAACTTCAACAACAATTTTTTGGAAAAATTGACTTGACTTCAAAATACACAAGATAAGTATTGCAAAAGTTGCATAAATTATTATTATTATTATTATTATTATTATTATTATTATTATTATTATTTTGTTTAACCAAAAGAACATATATAATTCAACAAAAGGTCAATGAATCTAAACTAGATAATACAAAATAAAGCAAAAACAAAAATATATACAAACGATTAACAAAATAAAACCAAGAACGAAACTAGAAAAAATATGAACTTATGCGTCGTATCATGCATTACTGATTCACACAATGATGTACTCACGGGTATTTTAAAATGCCCTATATTTGATTATCACCTATTGTGACCCAAATTATATAAGAGGAGTTGCTTGTCATAAAACACCTTAATGCACCGCCACTAAGTGAATTAACAAATAAATGTGTTCTCAATAGTTCTAAAGTTTCACAAATTAGTGACACCACATGTATATGGGGTATAAGCAGACAAAACTTTAAACTTAACCGTGTATTGTGACAAAAAGTTAAAGGCATCCTAGAGACGATAAGAAAGAAGAGAGAAAAATGCATGAAAATGACCCTAAAAACCTAAATGAAAAGGAAAAATCTTTTTGTATTTTTATGTTTTGTAATTATTTTTAATGCATTTTTTTATATTTTTAAAATGCAATGCAATGAAATTAAATTTTTTTATGTAATTTTTTTTCTTTTTTTTTATATATAAATGCAATGAATGGAATGCAATGAAATAAATACAATGAATGGAATGCAATGGAATTTACCCCTCCCTATGCTTAAAATGATGCATCGTACTTGATGTTTGGGAAGAGAGCGGGACCGACTACTGAGGAGGATCGTGAGGTGGGTGATGGGCAGATATTGTGAAGGGTATTAGGGTAGGTATGCAGGGTAATATCGTGGTCGTGTGGGTTGACCACCTAAGCAAAGGACTCAATGCATGCCAGTCATAAGGGTGTCCACATACTAGTTGTGTTTTGTTGGTTTTCTCTAAAAGCATAAAATTCTTCTCTCAACTCCACCATCTCCGTATTCATTTCACAAGCACTTTCATTAAGATTGGTATATTCGTGATGGAGGCGTCTATAATTAGTGTGCAAGAGCTTAAATTCGGATACGTACATATTATGGTGAGGATGCATGAAAGGCTGTTGTTGCACTGGCAGGTCAACATCATGAATAGGAACATCGAGAATAGGCTCATCTGCATCAAGCTCGAGATTAGCTCCGGGAATTGGAACACCTAAATTGGATTCAATACACCATCTCATGTTGGTGAGTGGGTAAGTGAGAGTCAGAAGTTGCCGATTTCGACTATGAATGCGAAGATAGTCTGCACCCTCAACTTTCCAGTAAATATCACGCTCGTCCATTCGTAGAAGTTGCGTATTATGGAACATGGTAGTGGTTAGGTGACGTCCACCTAGAATAACATCAAGGATTTAAGGAAACTAGATTCCTAAGGCAGAATGTTTTAAGATAATTGTAATCATGCCACCACAGTGTAACTGCGTACTGTTTCTTCTGTTGAGTTTTAGATGTTTGTAGATAACCCATTCCCCAAAATCAGGACGAATATTGGGGCTATAAACTGAACACCACAACAATTCCAACTCTATATGTCCAACTTTGATGAATTACTCTTGAGGAAATAAGATGGAAGCAAAGATCCAGTGGAAAACCTCTAACATGGGATGAATAACAGTTGTAGCTTTGGCGGAACTGGATTTGTACTCAAGTCTGGTAATTATGCTCCAAAAATGATTACAGTCAAGAAAGAACGTGGTATTCAACCTTCTAAATGGACCATATGTGTTGTGGGTCAAAGCACCAATAATCTCACAAATTTGGTTTTTGTGAAGTTGGTGATTGCAATTGAAATCACCAAGGATAAGAACTCAGTGTCACGATTATACTTAATAGAAAATAAGAATTCTAACATGGTTTGCACGTAACCCACATCACCGACTGAGAGAATACCTTCCCACCCAATATTCATGAGAAGCTTGCATATTTCAGTGTCAATATGTAAAGACCGGAGGGTAGGAATGTCCACAAATTTTTAGGTTGCCCGAATTCTACCTCCTAGAGAATGGTAACGAGTTTCTTGTTCAGGTGTAGAAAATTCTACACCAATCTGATTTTGGACCAGTGGATTATGTTGATTGGGAGCATTGATTGAAGATGGGACAACTCTAGGGTATTTGGAACTACTTTTGGAGGTGTTTCTACGGGATGTGGACATTTTTTGGTGTGAAGATATTACATTGATAGACAAAATACAACCAATGAACCACAACTTATAGCCAAGAACACACAAAAAAATAAGATTTTATGAACAATGCAAGAAAAATAAAATCGGAAGTAGAATACCTTATTTTTTATAATTCCACTTGAAATTGATGCTTGGAATCACTTCCCTTATGCTTCCCCAAGCTTAATCTACAAACAATTTAACAAAATATAACCAAATTTTCGGACCCATAAATTCTAGGGCTCTTCATATAGCTCAAAATCTCCATGGAAGAAGCTTTAATGCATGTTGGGGAAGAAGGAACACGTTAGGGAACAAGAAATAATACCTTTTGATCTTAGATGGAAGTGAAAATCAAACCAAAATCAAGTGTTTGTACGTGAGTTTTGGAGTGTCGGCAGTAGCGAAGAAGAGAAAGCAAGAGTAGTGAAGTCATGAGTGCAAAGACAAATGAGGGACTTTACTTAAAAAGTTACATTTTTTTTCTGAACATACCGTTCCACGGTCGTGGAATGGTAAAGGGTATGCATTCCACGGCCGTAGAATCCCTTGAATAATCCGGAAACCTTTTTCTTTCTTTTTCAATTTTGCACGCTTCTAAACCCCATGAGATATTTTTTTAGACTTCCCTAAGTATTCTAAGAACCTTGGAACATAAAAACATGAAATTCCATACGAAACTTTTACAAAATAAATGAGGAAAATACCCCTGAGTTGCCTCTCAGTTAGCTGTCCTTGTTTAAAGTCGGTGGCTCGACATGGACGCCAATGATTTGTCCAGTTTGATACTTTGGATCCTCTACTTCTTCCAATTCCTCATTTTTTACTTCAAAACCTTCATAATAAGGTGTAACACTCTAAATTTTGAAATAAAATTTTCATTTTTAATTCCACACAAAACACAGTTTAACATCTCTCATACTCAATTTATAAAGGTTTCAAAACACAACCACAAAAACTGTTTGTCACATATCCCAGAATCCTCAAAACATAAATCAACAAGTTGGTGTGTAATATCATGTCGGCGCCTTGCCGCGATCCTGAGATGTACCTGAAACACATTTCACACAACCCTGTAAGCAAAGTGAGTTCCCTAAATACCACAAATAATAATTCGGCTCGCATGGCTATATCTCGATAACGACCCTCCGGTCATGTGTCTCAGTGAAGAACCTCTGGTCTCACGACTCCGGTTGGACCCTCCAGTCCTGTATCTCAGTGAGGACCCTTCGGTCTCACAACTCGGTTGGGACCCTCTTGTCCTATCTCAATAAATGCACAAAATAATATACAACATAAATCGCAAAGATAGAATGCATAATATCACATGTCTTAGTATAAGCACATAAGACCCTCCGGTCAATAACACAGATAAGACCCTCCGGTCGCACAGTAATTACCACTCAGGTAAGTATAGTGAGAATACTCACCTCGTAAGTAAAGCAAGTATGTCTCGTACTCAAACTGTCGGTCTAGACTCCGCCTACATATATCACAATCATCTCTAATTAACAATTTGCATTAACAACTCCCAAAGATGTTAAGCTAACTCCTCTACTAATTCTCAGAAAAGATGAAAGACCATTTTACCCCTCCATGGTCTCCAAAGTCCACAATTTGACCAAACCCTAAAAAGTCAACGAAAGTCAACACTCAAGTCAACAGTCCATGTTGACTCAACTCGTCGGGTTCCTTTTGTTATCAGAAAATCGGGAAAATTCAAGTCAACTCGCCGAGTTGTCTCACCAACTCGTCGAATTTTCACAGAATCCAGAATATCGGGGAAAACCCTAACCAACTCGTCGAGTTCCTCCAGCCTTTACTCTCATTCAGACGCTTTTAAGCGAGACTAAGGCCCCAAACTCTAGATCTAGCCTTCTAGGGCTGAGATACCACGTAAAGCTGCAAGATTCACATCCATGCATGGTATTTAGGGGCTAAATTTTCCAAAACAAGGCTTAATAAGGGGTTTAAGGCATGAATATTGGCCAAATCTTAATAAAGCTTGAGTTTGTAGGCCTAAAGGGCCTAATAGTGTCCAAATAAGAAGTCTTAGCTTCAAAGCATGCTCAAAACCAATAATGACTCAAGAAGAAGCTAGAAGTGGCCATAAACTCTCTAATGGACAGATCTAATAAACAAGTGATCAAGGTAATGGCTTTTTACCTTAAAATAGCTGCTACAACTGAATGGATGTCAGATCTGCAGACTCCTTCTTGTTCCAAGCTCTTCAATCTTCAAGGAAGGCACCAAAACACACACTCTTAGCCTTAACACACTCTCAAGATGGAAGGTAACTTGATTAGGGTTTGTCTCTGGGTGGTAAGGTGATGAGGGAGGAGGGGTAAAGGAATTAAGGTCCTTTAAATAGTACGCAAACCCTAAAAATTAGGTTTTTCACACTCAGCTCCAACTCGTCGAGTTGAGTCCACCAACTCGTCGAGTTGGTTCTAAAATCACGTGGCCGATCTCAGTCTCTACTCGACGAGTTGAGGCTGTTGGGTTATGAGCATTCTAACACTCCTAAGTGTACATGCAACCCTAAATACCTTGGATCTATGTTTTCTCTATTATACATACAATTATGAACATCTAAGGTATTATCCTAATCTAACATACAAAATAATAAATATAACAAGATATAATACATACCTCTTTGATGTAGAATGTCTTCATGAAGCTT